TGCCGAGTGGCATAAATTGGACCAAACAACAAAACTTCGGTATAAACTTTTATTAATAAATTTGGATTTAATCAGCTATAATTCAGCAGCCGAATAATCCAATTTGGACTAGTGATAGTGATTATTATAAAGCAATATAGATTATAAAGAACAGTATTTAAAAATTAAAAATTTGTTATTTATTAATTTGATTAATTAATTTTTTTTTTTTTTGAATTTCTCTAGTAGATAAATATTATTTCTTTATTTGATATTGTATATAATAAAGTATACATCATGAAAAAACAATATTTCTTTTATTATTTTAAAAAGTTAAATACTAACTTGTTTATTTATTAATATTTAACTAATATTATAAAAAAATTTAAAATTTATATTAATGTATTAGATAAGGCTTAGTAGTGGCTATGTTTATTATTCTAGAAAATTTTATGAATTCTTTGAATTTTTAAATGTAAAAAATTAAAAATAAAAGTAATTATAATTAAAACTAAATTAAATATATTATAAGATTTATATATATAATGAAAGAATTTTCAGATGGGTTCATTGTTCTATCTTTCTAATACTTCAGATGCTATAGATAATAGAATATATATGACATTGTTTATTATTATAGTTGTTAGTAATAAGTTAATTGTTGTTATTGTTATAATCATTATTGTAATACAAAACTGGTTTGAGTTTGTTTAATTTTTGTTTTAATCTTTAAGTGAAATTTGATTGGATGATTGAAGGGTGCTGATCATCTGGAGTGAATAAACTAATTTCAGTTTTTTAGATGAAAATTTTTGGAGGTTGGAGATGGTATAGCGAATATTGCTATAAAAATATTATATATAAGGATTGACTTAAAACAAACAATAAACTTATTAACTCTGTTTAAATATATGTTTTGGAAAGTATTTAATTTAGCAAGTATAATGATAATGATGTGAATGATTTTTATGATAGAATAAGAGTAAGGAGAGATATAAGAGAACTAAAGAAAAAAGAACTACTATGGGTTTTTTCTCATGTAACTAAAAGATAAGCAAAATTTTCAAACTTGAATAGACTTTGATCAGAGATTTCATTCCACTATATCAATTGTTTTGAAGATTCTTGAGTTCTTGAGCTGAGGTTTACTTGTAATAAAGAGAATAAACCATTTTTTTTTGCTTAAAATTATTATAAAAAGAACTTTTTTTTAACAAAATAAATGTAATCAGAAGAGTATTTTTTGATTAATTAATTTTTTTATTTTTTTATTTTTAATAATATTCAAGATATTTTATTTCATGCTTTATAAGTAATTTTATATTTTATAAATATATAGTTTTTGTTTTTCAATTTTTTTAATAATTCTTTATTTATATTTATTGATTTTTTATAATTTTTTAAATATAATTTTTATTGATTTTTATATATTTCTGCAATTTTTTAACAACTTTATTATTTTTTTATCACAAGTTCCTTACAAATTATATTAAAACTTTTTCTAACTTGTAATAATTAATATAACTGGTGTTAATTTTTATAATAATCTTTTATATAATTTTTTCTTAACAAATAATTAAAAATATATAATTAAATCAATAGAAAAAATATATTTAAACTAGCAGTAGAATTTTCTCTTTTTTGTATAAGTTTCACTTGAATACAGACCCATCTATGTGTAATATAAGTTTACTAATTAAAATAGTTGGATTGGCTCAAGGAAAACCAGTAGTATTAAAAATGGTATTTACTAAATAGCATTAATTTATTTTTAAAATAACAATAGTCTAGTTTGTAAAAATATTTGATATAATGGTAAGATTATTAAATCATCAATAAAAACCTCATATATAATGCTCTTGATCGATTAAAAAATAAATAAATAAATAAAATTGGTAACATTATTAATAAAAAAAAATTATATAAATTTATTAATAAATATTATTATTGAATTATTTATTGATTTTATATATGTTAATTTATAGTTAAAGTTTATTTTATATCATATAATAGAATTATATAAAAATTAATCTTATTTATATATTTAATATCCTGTATGTATAATAACATATTTTATTATAATAAAATCAAATTTTTATTAATTAACGTTATGTATTAAACTTTCACTATCAAACCTTTTTATCACTTTAAATAATTATTAAATTTTATATGACATAATACGAGTTATCCTATAATTTATCTATTTTTTATTGTAGACATAATAGATTAATTTGAAATTTTTTTGTTTAACCATCTTTTCTTTTTCATTGTCAAAAAAAATATTTTTAAAGGCATAAGCCAAAAAATTGATTATAATTAAAAAATCAATTAATCAATTTAAAAATAAAATTAATTGTATAATTTATTGATGAAGTCGAATCCGACAACCACCAATTAGATGAGGTCTCAATAAAGATTCAGATATAAACATTCAAGCGATGGCTGAGAAAGATCATTCGATGCGATGATGATAGATTGTAATTTGATTGACTATCAGATTGAGGGATTTGGCGTAGTGAATGTTAAAATTAATATGAATATATAAGGTTTGAAAAAAATGGAAACTCCGGCCTCAGGGAACCTTCACGGTTTTTATTGTAGTAGATTTTAAGAGAACACCCTTAAGACGTATTTATTGTAAAAAAAAAGGATTTCTATTAACGTTAAAAAAGACTCATCGATCATTTCTAAATCTAACGTAACCATTACGAGTTTCTAAAAATAATCTTTTTCCATTGTCATTGCATGTTGTACGCACCAAAATCTTGGCGGATTCAAATTTACCTAATTTACCTTTGACGCAAAGAATCCGGACTGTGATCAAAATTTGCGCCCCAATTTTAGCTATATATACGATGAAATTCCGCTCTGTTTCTCATAACAATTTAATTGTTTAATGACATACGGATTTGAAGAAAATCCAGTTTAGAAAGACTTAATTCGCAATGTCCGATTCAACTAACAATCAACATCAGATTACCATCGATGATTCATATCAAACGGGTGGTGATCTTAATAATAAAAAAGAGGAGTCTACCAAAACCACACCACTAGAAGGGGATCATCCACCTCCATATGAATTCGTTTCAGCCGATAGTGCACCTGCGTATTCTGCCGCTTCTACATCCACGCGAATACCAGCTCCTGTTTCCGGATCTAATTTGGAAGCACAACGAATAGGCACGAGGCCTGAAGATTCTCCAATTGTAACTCGGGTTCCTTTGAGAAAAAGTAATTATATTTGCTTGGCTTGTTTTTAACGAGATTGATCCGAACATTTGATGTTGCATCAATAGAATATGGTGGCGGCGAATGTTGTTGCCCTTGTTGTCCCTCAAATCGTGGAAAGTGTTGTTGTTGTCTAATCTTGATATTGATTATTATATTTATTATATTGGGGGTAAAGTAACTCAATTCTTTTTTCTCGTTCTACTGTTATATGCATCGCTAATTCTTTACCATTAGGCAATCTCCAAGGCCAATAACGATGCTTGTAGAAACCTGAACCCGGTTAATGAAAACATAATATATTATTCATATGATCCAAATGTCTATACCAATTTTTCAATTGATTCTTCGGACAGTTACATTCAGGTTTGTCATCTCATTCCTATTTACGATAATTCACGATTTTACTTGGCATTAATGGTTTATCTTTTCTAAAATAGAACGGTGATCTTCTTGTATCTCGAGATTTACAAAATAAAACGAATGCCACGATATGGGTACAAATGGCAGCTCCCGGAAGAGCACCGGCAAACGTTGATTTTGTTCCTCAACAATCAAGTTATCTGATGAGATTTGTGATTATCAATTTTTATTTGGGTTCCCTTTTATGTTATCACATTCTTTCTACCGTACGTTAGTATTAATTCGCTCGTATCCGCTGAATTCAATTAGCACCAATCAAGTGGTGGGTCAAACTTTCTTGGATTATTTGGCATGTCGGCAAGTTGTATCAAAGTACGTGTAAGATTATTTTTACCACAACGAATGACTTCACCTCAAACCCAAACCGTGATACAAGCGGACAATTTCGATATCCAAACGTTACCCAACGATGTCATCTACAATCAATCCTTAAATATAAAATCCACTAATGGAGACATATTGGTGAATCGATTGTATGCGAATAACGTTACTCTCAACACGAGATATGGTGATATCTTTGGAAGCATACGGTCACTGAAAAATGCCAAGATAACTTCGAGAGGGAGCATCAATATGTTAATGAACGTTGCACCCGATGCGACGAATTATAATATATCGGCTACTGCTTTTGGTTACGTAGCGTTACAATTTGTAAGATATTATGTTATTTACCTCAATATCTTTTTCTCGTTTACTCTGATTGCTCATTTTTTTTATCGATCACATAGAACAAATCTTTCGCCGGAAAGTATGAGATAATCACACATGATGATTATGGAATTAATGACTCGTATGGTACGGTGGGAGACAATGGTACAGGAACATTGAGAGTGGAGTCACGCGGAAGAGCTATTGTTAGATTCGCGTGAAACGTCTGTAGATTGGGCGATTCGAAGCTCTGGGAGTTTGATTCACGTAGTTTAAAATCATCATGTCAAAGCTTATTGTATATATACAAAAAAAAAAAATAGATTTAAGCGATAAATGTATTTTATTCCATTTCTTTACAGATGTAATTAATTATTAAATGTACAAAGTTAACGACACAATTGAGTAATATTTCTAAAATCTCGTGTAACCACGAGGGAAAATCGTGTCGCGATATTATTGGTGTATGAATTAAGAAAATCATTTCAAGTTTTTGGTTTCTCGCTCGCGAATTTCTTATTTATGTCAAACTGCATCTAAAATGAAGATGCTTGGTTTAGACACCCAACACCAAGCTGCACTACTAAAAGTTGTCATCCTCGGTTTAATATCAGCCGTTGCAATTGCTAGCCGTTTATTTAGTATCATTAGGTTCGAAAGTGTCATTCACGAGTTTGATCCATGGTTTAACTATCGTACAACTCGCCGCTTAGTAGAAACGAGTTTCTATGAATTTTGGAATTGGTTCGACGAGCGATCGTGGTATCCCTTAGGTCGCGTTGTTGGTGGAACAGTTTACCCCGGATTGATGGTGACTTCGGCCACTATCTACAACGTTTTGCACGCACTTAACTTTCCCGTTGATATACGCAATATTTGCGTTTTATTGGCCCCGCTCTTTTCAAGCTTCACTGCTATAGCAGCATACCTATTGACCTCCGAAATAAAGGACTCCTCCGCCGGTCTTTTGGCGGCTGCATTTATCGGTGTGGCACCGGGGTACATATCTCGTTCTGTGGCCGGCTCATACGATAATGAAGGAATTGCCATTTTTCTGCTTATGTTCACGTTTTATTTATGGATAAAAGCTCTCAAAGTGGGTTCTGCCTACTGGGGTGCTTTAGCTGCATTATTTTATTTTTACATGGTGGCAGCTTGGGGTTAGTATGATTTGCAACATTATTCGTCTGCCTCATCAATACCCGAGCTGTTCTAAACTTCCAAAAATTTTAGGAGGTTACGTGTTTATTATCAATCTGATTCCTCTTCATGCGTTTACACTCATACTCATGGGTCGATTTTCGAGTAGGCTCTATGTTGCATATTCCTCATTTTATGTTCTCGGTACCCTTATGTCAATGCAAATTCCTTTTGTTGGCTTTCAACCAACAAGAACAAGCGAGCATATGGCAGCATTAGGTATGAACTTAAAGTTTAAGCTTGTCATTATCTTAATTACCATGTTTAAAAAATCATATTTGAATCTTAGGAATATTCGGATTGCTTCAAATAATTGCTTTTGTCGAACTTGTAAGAAGTCATCTTCCGTCCAACCAATTTCAAATTCTCCTAAAGGGTTTCATTTTTATCTCTTTTATTGTCATGTTTTCGGCGTTGGTTTTCTTGACGGTTTCCGGATATATTGCTCCTTGGACTGGACGTTTTTACTCTCTATGGGATACAGGATATGCAAAAAAATATATTCCTATAATTGCCTCCGTGTCCGAACATCAACCTACTGCATGGCCTTCCTTCTTCTTTGATCTTGAAATGTTGATATTTCTTTTCCCTGCTGGCATATACATTTGCTTCAAAGAACTTCGTGACGAACATGTGTTTGTCATTTTATATGGTATAACAGCATCTTACTTTGCCGGTGTAATGGTCCGTTTGATGCTGACCTTGACACCAATCGTCTGTGTGGCCGCTGCCATCACTGTTTCGCGCTTACTCGACTTGTATCTTGATATGCATGGATTGGAATCTCATGAAACATCAACAAAGGAACCTCATGAAACATCAACAAAGAAACCCGTCGCAGATGGTAAGACCAAAGTTGCGGAAAAATCAAACAGCAGCAAAAAGGGTAATAGTTCTCGTCCGGCACCAACAAAGAAAAAGGGTGATCAACAACTTTTTGGTATAAAAGGATTTGACACTCGTTTAGCAGTTATCATGAACTTCTTCTTTTTCCTGACTATATTCGTCTGGCATTGTACGTGGGTAACTTCCAATGCCTACTCATCACCCTCGATCGTTCTTGCATCTCGACAAGCCGATGGCTCCCAATACATCATTGATGATTTCCGTGAAGCTTACTATTGGCTCCGGAAAAACACTGATGATTCTGCGGTAGTCATGTCTTGGTGGGATTATGGTTACCAAATTGCTGGTATGGCAGATCGTACGGTCCTGGTGGATAATAACACTTGGAATAACACGCACATTGCTACTGTTGGCAAAGCCATGGCTTCTTCAGAAGAAGTCGCTTATGAGATCATGCGTCGACACGATGTAACTCATGTACTTGTAATTTTTGGTGGTTTATTGGGATATTCTGGGGACGATATTAATAAATTCTTGTGGATGATACGTATCGCTGAGGGTGTTTACCCTGATGATGTAAAAGAAATTAGCTTCTTTACTCCACGTGGGGAATACAGGGTGGACGAAGAAGCTACACCTACAATGCGTAATAGTATTATGTATAAAATGAGTTATTATAATTACAATGAACTTTTTGGTGGTCAAGGTCAAGACCGTGTTCGTGGCGCTCGATTGCCATCTGATAAAATAAGGCTGGATACCCTGGAGGAAGCGTACACAACTGAAAATTGGATCGTTCGAATATATAAAGTAAAAGATCTGGACAACATTGGTCGCAGCCTGAAGCAAGCGGCGTCATTTGCACTGGGTAAAAAGAGACACACCAGGTCAAAGAAAAGAAGTTAAAAACTTTTTTATTTTTTTTTTATTTTATTTTATTTGTTTCGTGTTTCAGATTAAAAATTTGAAGAGCGATCTCGTAAAATTTATGATAAACTCTAAACGTAATAAAACATTAAAAAATACAGCAGTATAATTCATTTAGAACTCTGTTAGCTATTATAATTACGAATCATTTTAATATATCGATTTTGATGACAAGATGAACCAAATTTTCTGGAAGCTTAACGAATCTTTAATACGTGCCGACACTGTTCTAATTATAATATAATTATTTTAATTAATATAAGTCGATAATTTGTTCAAATCGTCATCCGAAAATATTTATGGAATTTAGTAAATAATAATAAGGAACCTTTAATTATATAATTATTGAATTTAAAGTGTCTCGAATGAAAATTATTTGGAAAAGCTAAAATCGAATAGAACAGGTGTTGACCTAAAGAATCAAATCGATATACTTTTGAAGCTTTGTAGTGTGTAATCTGATGCAAAATTCTTTAAATTCATTTATTTCCGACTGCAACTAATAATATTTTAATTACTACTTTATTAAAAAAAATAATTACATTTCCACATAAAATAATGTTTGTTTTTTTATAAAAAAAAAAATTACTGTATATATTGAATTTTTTTTAATATATTTAAATTAAATATAAATATAAATACACGAATATTATAAAATTACCTTTACTTATAACTAGTTTATAGTTTATAGTATTATTTTTTTTTAAATAATTATTTTTAATAAAAAATTTTATGTTATATATTAATTTCATAACTTGATTTTCATAAAATTCAAATTTATATATATGTTTTTATATGTTTTTTTGTGATGGAATAATATAAAAATATACATTTACAGTTAAACAATTACTAATTAATTAATATAAAAATATTTGAATTAAGATTGTTTATTAATATTAAAAGATTTAAATTTGATTTTTTTATATTTTTAAATTAATATTTATTAAATAATATTACAATTTTTAATTTTTTAAAAAAATTTTGAATACTCATACATATTTTTTTTCTTTTTACTTTTTAATACTCAAAAGTTCTTTATATTTTTTTATTTTTATACAAGAGTCTCAAAAGATCTAAATAAATATATTGATATATTGAAATAAGATCTCTGGTTAGAAAAAAGCAAGTTTTATGATTTTTTTTTTAATTATATATATAAGGAAAAACCTGTGACAGTTATTTCTTTATAAATCTTTTTTGGGATTTTTCTTATTTCTATTTTTTATTAAAAAACAATTCTTATTAAATAATTATATTTTTTAAAAAAATTGTTCTTTAACTCAAAAAATTAAACTTTATATTAATATTGTTTATATTGTTGATTTGGAGCATCAGCAATATATACAATATCTACTTTTCAATATTATTTAGCACAATATACTATATTATTAAAATTTCTTATCAAAAAACTATAATCAGTTTACTTCTATTAACTAATTATTATTTCAAACTTAATTAATTAAATATTATCAAATATCAAAACAAATTTATATAATTAAAATATTATATAATAATCAATATAAACAAAATCAATTTTGATAACAATAGTCAAAACAAAATTATACTATCAATTAATAAATCAATTACTTTACCAATTATTAATTATATCAATATAACAACAAATATTACTACAATAACAAACTAAATCATATATACTTTATTATTTGTATTAATAAAAATTATACTTATTAATCAAAAAAAATTAAAAAGATAGAACAATAAGCTTAATTAAAAATTCTTTTGAAAATATAATTTTTTTCCTTATAGATTTTATAATTTATTTGATTTTGATTTAGTTTTAATAATTTTTATTTTATTTTTTTTTAAATTTTTCATATATTTAAATTTTTTTTTTTAAATAGATAAATATAACTACTATTTGACCTATATTTAATATTAATATTGTTTTAAAAAATTTTTTTAAATATTGATTATTTATAGTATTGATAAATAGATTAGCATTTAACTTATTATATACTTGCATTTAAGAAATATTGTTTCTTTTTAAATGTATATCTTGTAATATATAAATAAATAAAGAAATGATATTTATCTATAAAAAAAAATTTTTTTTTGAATATTATTATATATATTATATATATAATTTTTTTTTTTTTTTTTTTTTTTTTTAAGGGCTAAGTTGCGATACACGCGTGGATTTTATTGTGAGATCAATTAAGA